TGATCACGCAGAGCACGAAGAAGTTTTCCAAGAGCCAACCTGTTTGGGAGACAGAAGAAGCTTTGTTTTGACGAATTTCAGAAGCAAATGCTTGAGTAAGCACTTGACATTCGTATGCCTTTTTTGTCTGGGTCGGAGCCAGAAGAAGCTTTGTTTCGACGAATCTCCGCGCCATTCTCCATTGGAACCTCTTTTCCCATGCACTTCGCCCCTACACGAAGCCTAGACTCCCTGAAGCAAATGCTTGAGTAAGCCTTTTCCAAGACCAGGTTGCTGTACCAGAAGCATTGTGGGTCGTGAGCCTTGCGACTATGGTGCTGAGCTATTGCCAGGTGAAGGGTGTATTACGGGTCAAGGGGTGTTTAGGGTGTAGGGTGCACAAGGTACGAAGGATTTACAGCTGGAGTAATTACCTGGGCGATGAGAATACGTTTCCAGGAGATCCGCGCCAACAAGGAGGTTGTGCTGGCTGCTGTGAAGCAGAACTGGGCCGCCCTGCAACTTGCTTCCGAGGAGCTGCCGCAGAAAACCACAGGTGCGAGACTGAAGCAGCTTAGTTTCGACAAATCTCGACAGGGTAAAGGAGTGTTCGTAGAGGAGCTGCCGCAGAAAACCACAGGTGCGAGACAGAAGCAGCTTTGTCTCGACAAATCTCGACAGGGTAAAGGAGTGTTTAGAGTTTAGAGTGCGCGGAATCACGAGAATGGTTTAGGTAAAGACCGGTCATGCAGCAGTCAGCCCAGAGCGTCGAAGCACAGGCGTTGCGATCATTGCGACTATGATGATGCAACTAACAGGGTGTACGCCGCGATATTGCGTTTAACGATGGGTTGTGGGGTTGTTGAGGGTGTTTGGGAGTGACAGCTGCCAGCTGCCCAGTTGGGTCCCTGAAGATCAGGCTTGACACTTGCAGGTTCTTTTAGTCTGGGCCACATGCCTGCTTCTCGACAGTTTTCCACGCCATTCTCCATTGCAACCGCCGTTTTCCTTCAGCAAGCCCTTGCCCGAAACCTAGACTCCCTGAAGCCGAAATCCGACGCCCATCATAGGTTCGATAGAGTCAAGCTTGAGTAGGCCTTGCAGGGACCGGGCTGCTGTACCGGAAGCATTGTGGGTCGTGAGCCTTGTGACTGTGGTGATGGGCTACTTTTCCCGGCTAAGGGTGTACCACGGGCTTCAACTGGAGCACGGGCAATGCTTGAGAAAGACTGCGATGACGCGACTGCTCGTCCAGGAGCTCCGAAAAGACACCGACCTGGTCCTGGTGGCCGTGCAGCAGGACGGTTTGGCCTTGAAGTATGCCGCCAAGGAGCGGCGCAGGGAGCCAGGTCGGACAAACTGAGGATTGAGGACTGCTCTCATGGGTAGGTGTAGCACAGTGTATACGTAGCTTCATGCTCGGGACAGGTCTGAGCCAGAAGAAGCTTTGTTTCGACGAATCTCCACGCCATTCTCCATTGGAACCTCTTTTCCCATGCAATTCGCCCCTACACGAAACCTAGAGTCCCTGAAGCAAATGCTTGAGTAAGCCTTTTCCAAGACCAGGTTGCTGTACCAGAAGCATTGTGGGTCGTGAGCCTTGCGACTATGGTGCTGCGCTATTGCCAGGTGAAGGGTGTATTACGGGTCAAGGGGTGTTTAGGGTGTAGAGTGCACAAGGTACGAAGGATTTACAGCTGGAGTAATTACCCGGGCGATGAGAATACGTTTCCAGGAGATCCGCGCCAACAAGGAGTTTGTGCTGGCTACTGTGAAGCAGAACTGGGCCGCCCTGGAATTTGCTTCCGAGGAGCTGCCGCAGAAAACCACAGGTGCGAGACAGAAGCAGCTTCGTCACGACAAATCTCCACGCCATTCGGTATCGGATTATCCTTAGGAGTTCCGGCTTTTGGAGGCCCATGAAAGACCGGGGAGCTGAGCAAGAATAGTCAGGGGAAAGCTTTCCGGCTAGCCACCGGGCAACGCAAGCAAGACTTACCACGACTGGAGGAGCAAGACCTTGATTGACAGGAAAAGAGTCAGAAGAAGGTCAATGGCAGTAGTTGTGCTGAAGAAGCTAGAGCACTCAGCCCTAAATCACGACCCTGAAAGACCCCATCGGCCGAAAACCCTTAAAGTCCTTGAAGCCCCAAGCCCGGACAAAAAACATCGACAGCCACTGCCGGGCTCCATGCCGGCACTCCTTCGGAGCAAAAAGACGAAGAGAAGCGTAGTCAGAGTTCGCGATAGCTTCGTGCTGAGGGCCCAGGTACCGCGAACTCATGACGGCAACTGTGGAGGGGTTTTGACACTCAACGCGAATTGAAGGACAACAAAATGGTCGAAAGAAGGTCAAAGACACACCCGTTGTGTTGATCCAGCTTAGAGCCTTTGGCCCCTACATTGGGGCCCTACATCACGGAAATGCTTACACGTGATAAGCCCCTTCATTTCGAGCCCTATCCTCCGCAGGCCGAAGCCCCTTAGATGTCAAGCCCCTGATTCCGGAACTTGGCATAAAGATCGACAGCGTGCGATGCTGGCCTCTTTGGCCCATCAGGCTTGCTCCCTCAACTCACAATTTCGGCGCGGAAAAGGGTACCAAAAACCAAAAAACAACTCTGCAGAAGGCCACCAGGAAGCCCAACCCCCTTCTTGGCCCGGAAAAGAGGTTTGGGTTCAGACCAAGAACCGACAAAAAACATCCGAAGAAGGCAAGAAAGCAGTAAACCCAACCCCCCCTTTTCGGCCTGGAAAAGGGGGGTTGGGTTCAGACCAAAAACCGGCAAAAACCTCTTGAGAAAACCAGAAAGCAGGAAAGACAGCCCACCTTTTTTGGCCCGGAAAAGGGGGTGTTGGTTTCAGACCCAAAACCGACCAAAACCTCTTCAGAAGGCCAGAAAGCCATACTCGTACAACAGAACTCCCCCCCAAAGCAGCATGCACCGGACATTGTGTTTAGGGCCGATGCCCCTGGACATTTGTCACGCAGAAAGATGACTCATGTCAACAGCTGTAAACATGGCTCTTTATTGAAGACACGTACACTCAACTCCGAAACCCCAGGCGTTTTGTGGGTTTTTGTCTGAGCCCAACCCCATTTTTCGGGCCAAGAAGGGGGGTAGGTGTAGCACAGTGTATACGTACCTTCATGCTCGGAGGCCAGAGGCTCCGAGTATTGTAGCAGTAGTGGAGGAATGATCACGCAGAGCACGAAGAAGTTTTCCAAGAGCCAACCTGTTTGGGAGACAGAAGAAGCTTTGTTTTGACGAATTTCTGAAGCAAATGCTTGAGTAAGCACTTGACATTCGTATGCCTTTTTTGTCTGGGTCGGAGCCAGAAGAAGCTTTGTTTCGACGAATCTCCGAGCCATTCTCCATTGGAACCTCTTTTCCCATGCACTTCGCCCCTACACGAAGCCTAGACTCCCTGAAGCAAATGCTTGAGTAAGCCTTTTCCAAGACCAGGTTGCTGTACCTGAAGCATTGTGGGTCGCGAGCCTTGCGACTATGGTGCTGAGCTATTGCCAGGTGAAGGGTGTATCACGGGTCAAGGGGTGTTTAGGGTGTAGGGTGCACAAGGTACGAAGGATTTACAGCTGGAGTAATTACCCGGGCGATGAGAATACGTTTCCAGGAGATCCGCGCCAACAAGGAGTTTGTGCTGGCTACTGTGAAGCAGAACTGGGCCGCCCTGGAATTTGCTTCCGAGGAGCTGCCGCAGAAAACCACAGGTGCGAGACAGAAGCAGCTTAGTCTCGACAAATCTTGACAGGGTAAAGGAGTGTTCGTAGAGGAGCTGCCGCAGAAAACCACAGGTGCGAGACAGAAGCAGCTTTGTCTCGACAAATCTCGACAGGGTAAAGGAGTGTTTAGATTTTAGAGTGCGTGGAATCACGAGAATGGTTTAGGTAAAGAACGGTCATGCAGCAGTCAGCCCAGAGCGTTGAAGCACAGGCGTTGCGATCATTGCGACTATGATGATGCAACTAACAGGGTGTACGCCGCGATATTGGGTTTAACGATGGGTTGTGGGGTTGTTGAGGGTGTTTGGGAGTGACAGCTGCCAGCTGCCCAGTTGGGTCCCTGAAGATCAGACTTGACACTTGCAGGTTCTTTTAGTCTGGGCCACATGCCTGCTTCTCGACAGTTTTCCACGCCATTCTCCATTGCAACCGCCGTTTTCCTTCAGCAAGCCCCTGCCCGAAACCTAGACTCCCTGAAGCCGAAATCTGACGCCCATCATAGGTTCCATAGAGTCAAACACTTGAGTAGGCCTTGCAGGGACAGGGCTGCTGTACCGGAAGCATTGTGGGTCGTGAGCCTTGTGACTGTGACTGTGGGCTACTTTTCCCGGCTAAGGGTGTATCACGGGCTTCAACTGGAGCACGGGCAATGCTTGAGAAAGACTGCGATGACGCGACTGCTCGTCCAGGAGCTCCGAAAAGACACCGACCTGGTCCTGGTGGCCGTGCAGCAGGACGGTTTGGCCTTGAAGTATGCCGCCAAGGAGCGGCGCAGGGAGCCCGCACGGACAAACTGAGGATTGAGGACTACTCCCATCGGTAGGTGTAGCACAGTGTATACTCGGAGGCCAGAGGGAGGAATGATCAAACTGAGCACATCTGAGAAGTCTTCCAAGAGCCAACCTGTTTGGGAGTGACAGCTGCCAGCCAAGTAGGGACATGCGCATACCCTTTTAGTTTCGGCCACAGGTCGAAGCCAGAAGCAGCTTCGTTTTGAGAAATCTCCGCGCCATTCTCCATTGGAACCTCTTTTCCCATGCACTTCGCCCCTACACGAAGCCTAGACTCCCTGAAGTAAATGCTTGAGTAAGCCTTTTCCAAGACCAGGTTGCCGTACCAGAAGCATTGTGGGTCGTGAGCCTTGCGACTATGGTGCTGAGCTATTGCCAGGTGAAGGGTGTATTACGGGTCAAGGGGTGTTTAGGGTGTAGGGTGCACAAGGTACGAAGGATTTACAGCTGGAGTTATTACCTGGGCGATGAGAATACGTTTCCAGGAGATCCGCGCCAACAAGGAGGTTGTGCTGGCGGCTGTGAAGCGGAACGGCAACAGCCTGGCATATGCGTCCCAGGAGCTGCCGCAGGGGGGTGCCGGGCTTTCGGACAGGAGCAAAAAGCGAAGAGAGCCGTGTACCGCGAACTCATGACAGCAGCAGCAGTGGAATTCTGACACTGAATACGAGTTGATTGACGACCATAAGGTGACAAGAAGGTCAAAGAGACACCCGTTGTGCTGAACCAGCTTAGAGCCTTTGGCCCCTACATGGGGCTCTACATCTCGGAAAAGCCTACACCTTATGAACCTTGTCATGCAGACCCCAATCTCCACGGGCCAGAACCCATTAGACCCCAAGCCCCTGAGCCTGGAACCCGTGAACAGAAAGAGCGTCGACAGCCACAGTGCTGGCCTCTCTGGCCCATCAGACCTGCTCCTCCAAGAATTAAGGGTTCAAAGGTTTCCGCTGTTGCTCTGCAGCAGAAAGCCAGAAGGTTGGTACCAGTCCTTGGGGGAGGGCCGGCTCCACTTCTGTATGACTCCCCACAGAGTCTCGCCCTGAATCCCAACCGCAACCACAAGAGCAGTGACAATCGCACGCAAATAGCTTCTCTACGAAGGCCAAATCTGAACTCCTACAGAGCCCTCGACTCCCTGAAGCCTAGATCCGAGATCCCACGCCCATCGCTTTCCAAAGGGTAATGCTTGAGTAGGCCTCTGCAACACCAGGATGCCACACCAGAAGCATATGGGTCGCGATCATTGCAACTATGGTGATGCACCACTTTTTCCGTGTTAAGGGTGTATTGTGGATTGCGGGCGCCGGTGTGTTTAGGGCCTAGGGTGCGCGGAATCAAGAAAAGGTTTACGGTATCGAAAGAGGTCATGCAGCATTCAATCCATAAAACCAAAAGTACAAGAAAGCACTAGGGATTTACAACTTGAGTAATGACGGTGGCGATGAGAATGCCTTTCCAGGAGCTCCGAAACAACAAGGAGGTGGCCCTGGCGACGGTGAAGGAGTCCGGCGAGGCCTTGAAATACGCTTCCCAGGAGCTGCCGCAGGGGACAGGGCCCGGGCTGCCGCAGGTACCGCGAACTCATGACACCAACAGCAGAGGAATTCTGACACTGAATACGAGTTGATTGACGACCATAAGGTGACAAGAAGGTCAAAGAGACACCCGTTGTGCTGAACCAGCTTGGGGCCAACATCCCGGAATGCCTACAACTTATGAACCGTGTCATTTCGACCCCAATCTCGACAAGCCAAAAAACCCCTTAGACCCCAAACACCTGAGTCCGGAACCCCCTTTCTGGCCTTAAAAACTCAGAAGTTCAGGCTTTATAAAGGTTCAAAGGGGTTAAAGGGTTCAGTTGTTTGGGGTTTACGGTCTTACTCTGTAACAGAAAGTCAGAAGACTGGTACCAGTTCTTGGGAGAGGGTCGACTCAACTCCTGCGTGAGTCCTTACAGAACCTGGCAGCTCCCACCCCTTGAATCCGAACTCGAACCTCAAGCAGAGCAGCGCAGACCGCCAGCCCTCAGGGGTGATAGGGATTATAGGTGCAGACGATTTTCAGAATTTGCGTCTGAGCCAGAAGCTTGGCCGTGATGATTCTCCACGTATTTTGCCATTCGAGCCTCCATTCCCCCACAAATAGCTCCTCCCTGAAGGCCAAATCTGAAATTCTACAGAACCCTAGACTCCCGCATTGGGGCTTAGTGTTGTGAGTGGCGGTCATTGCGGATGCCTTGTACTATTTCAGGGTTGAGGTTGAGGCCGTGATATGGGTTTAGGGATGCTGGTGCGCAGAATAAAGAGTACGTGCACTGCAAGTGTTGCAGGTACCGACGGCCATGCAGGAGTCAGTCCATCAGAAGAAAACACACTCGGGATTTTCAACTGGAGCATGAGTATAATGTTTGAGAAAGACTGCGATGACGCGACTGCTCGTCCAGGAGCTCCGAAAAGACACCGACCTGGTCCTGGCAGCGGTGCAGCGGAACGCTTATGCGTTGACGTTTGCCGCCAAGGAGCAGCGCAGGGAGCCGGGTCGGGCTGCCGGAGGCCCGTGAGAAGCAGACTCCAGAAGAAAAGAAGAAGTGAGGATTCTCATCGTTAGGGATGGCTTCGTGCTCGGAGGCTGGGTATATTCGTGACTAGTGCGAACTCGTCACAGCACACTGATGAAGAGTTAGAATGACAGAATGAGAGTCAGAAGAAGGTCAAGGGTATTGCTGGAGAGGCTATAGGGCTCGTAATGTGCCGTAAATCGCGACCCTTAAAGGCCCCATCGGCCGAAAACCCTTAAGGTCCCCCAAGCCCGGAAAAAAAAAAAAAAAAAGCACTGGCACGGTGCCCGGCTCCATGGCGGCGGGGCCTGCGCCCCTTCAGTTAGCCAACAGGTTTAATGTTTCGAGGGCTGAGGTGCTGAGGGGTGTGGTTTGTGGGATTGGAGGTTTTAGGGGTTTAGGGATTAAGTAAGGGTTTTAGAAATGACGGCCTTTCAAGATGATTAAGCCCATCGAAACTCCTGCGCTCGTATATTCCGGAGAGAGCAATACTTGAACGATACTTTTCAAGACCTAGGCCAGGGTGCTGTACCAGAAGCATGTGAGTCAGGATCATTACGACCATGATGACGTAGTTGACAGGGTTTCGGCCGTGATATATGGCTTAGGGATGCTCAGGGTTCAGAGCGAATAAAGAGTAGTTGCATTGCAAGATATTGCATGGGGTTTATGCGGAAATGCATGCCACCATCGGAGCAAAATAAGACGAAGAGAGCAGTCATCAGAGTTCGCGATAGCTTCGTGCTGAGGGCCCAGGCACTGCGAATTCATGACAGCAACAGTGGAGGAACTATGGCACTGAATACAATTCGAACGACAACAGAAAAGTCGCAAGAAGCTCAGAAACACCAGTCGTGCTGAAACAGCTCAGAGCCTTTGGCCCCTACATTGGGGCCCTACATCCCGGAAATGCTTACACGTGATAAACCCCTTCAAAACGACCCCTAAACTCCACACGCCGAAGCCCCGCTCCCTAAAAACTCATAAGTTCAGGGTTCCAAGGTTCATATGGTTTGACGGCTCAGGGTTTTTGAGGGTTTTAGAATCTTGCTCTGTAGCAGAAACCTAGCAGGCTGTAGGCACTGAAGCGGACTGGGGATATACAACTGCAGCATGAGTGATACTTGAGAATGACTGCGATGACCCCGGATGTCAAAGAGAGCATCGGTAGCCACGGCGCCAGGCCTGCATTCCAAACTAAACTATATATAGTTTTAAGCGTTCAGGGGTTATCAGGGATGGGGGGTTTACGGTTTAGGCTTTCGGGTTGTGTCGCAGAGCCAGTAGATTGGATCATGACAGAAGATTCCTTTTTCCAGGAGCTCCAGGCTGACAAGGAGTTCCTTCTGCAGGCGCTGCGGACGAAGAATAATGGAGGAGCGTCACCCCAGATCACGAAGAATCATGAATGTACCTTGCCTCGTTTCCTGGAGGCGGTGCGCGCCACGAACGCTTACTGGCTCCTGCATTTTGCGGCCGGCGATCTGCAGACGGACGACTTCCACGGCCAGTGCCGCGCTGCTTGTGGCACCGGATTGGTGTTCACGTACTATGCCACATGCCTTGGCAGTGTATGCCGCGACTTCCCATTCACGGGCGCCTCTGTGCCCGGAGGCCGGGGCCCAGGTCATAGTAGAAAAATGACATCATGTGGCCAAGGGACGGCTTGCAGTTCTAGGATTCTTTCTGTCGCGTTTGCGTGGCTTCGTGGCTGGGTGATCGGGGGACACTGCCTGGCAAGGCGCCCGGAAACCAGCAGCTTGGGGGGGAAACAGGAAATAGCCCCACCTTTCCCTCCCGAAAATAGTTCAACATATAGCTTCGCTCAGCAGCATGCTTCCTTGGGCAAGTGCTGGGCAAGTGGGCTCCAGCCACCAAGCCAGCTTGGAAGCCCGCGCACGATGAAAGATCTCCTGGCATGTCGAGTAATTCCCATTTTTAGTGAACGTGTTCCTGGCTTCTGCACCTCCTCCCTGGATGTATGCGCGCGCGGGTGCGTGTGTGGGTGCGTGTGTGCGTGTGTGCGTGTGTGCGTGTGTGCGTGTGTGCGTGTGTGCGTGTGTGCGTGTGTGCGTGTGTGCGTGTGTGCGTGTGTGCGTGTGTGCGTGTGTGCGCGTGTGCGTGTGCGCGCGCGCGCGTGTGTGTGTGTGTGTGTGTGTGTGTGTGTGTGTGTGTGTGTGTGTGTGTGTGTGTGTGTGTGTGTGTGTGTGTGTGTGTGTGTGTGTGTGTGTGGGTGTGCGTGTGCGTGTGCGTGTGCGTGTGCGTGTGCGTGTGCGTGTGCGTGTGCGTGTGCGTGTGCGTGTGCGTGTGCGTGTGCTTGTGCGTGTGCGTGTGCGTGTGCGTGTGTGTGTGTGTGTGCGGTGTGTGTGTGTGTGGGGTTTGTGTGCGGTGTTTGTGTGTGTGGTGTTTGTGTGTGGTGTTTCTGTGTGGTGTTTGTGTGTGGTGTTTGTGTGTGGTGTTTCTGTGTGGTGTTTCTGTGTGGCATTTGTGTGTGTGTGGTGTTTGCGTGTGGTGTTTGTGTGTGGTGTGTGTGTGGTGTGTGTGTGGTGTGTGTGTGTGTGTGTGGTGTGTGTGTGGTGTGTGTGTGGTGTGTGCGT